GAGTGGAGGCTGCCAAACTGTAGGATTTGTCGATCAGTAAAATTAAAGAGAATAAATAATTGGAGGGCTATCAAGAGTTGCCAGCTCTTTATTTTTGCCATGTATTGCTAGCATTGTTCTCCCTACTAATATTCTGCTGGGTGTTAAGTTTCTCACATGAGGCCTAGGCCACAACAGTGTTAATTTAAACTCTTTAAAAATGAGAAACATTTCAAAAGATGCACAAAGAAAAGTTAGCTGTCAGTGTGTGGATGGTACTGGTTGGCATCTCCCTGGTGCAAGAGTCCAGCTCTTCTCAACACTAAGTCCTCCACGGTGAAATTCCACATAGTGACCCACAGCAGGCATGAATAGGAAGCCCTGTGATCCCAAGAGCCATGTCTGTGATTTACAGTAATTATCTTCCATGCCCAGGTGGGGCTCTTCCATTATCTGGAAGTCTCAATGCCAGACCACATTCACATTTCTCTCTGGTTTGTACAGTGCACCCTTGAAATTTATACAGGAGCAGAACAGGTTTTACCCTAGCTAGTGATATGATAGTCTGTGCTTTTATTGTGGAAAAATTCAAGCACATACTATAGTAGAGAATATATAATGAACCATCAAATATTATCACTCAGATTCAACAGTTATAAACTAATGGCCAATCTTGTTCTCCACCCATTTCCCCAACCTCTGATAGTTGTGAAGTAAATTCCAAACATTTTTCATCCATTAATATCTTGATTGTGTACCTGGAAAAGCTATGAGCTCTTTCTTTTTAAGTTACCAATGTACCATATTATTGACATACTTTAAAATATTAATAACTCCATAATATCAAATATCTAAATTCCCTCGATGGTTTCATAAATGCACTTTTTCTGGTGGATTTATTAATTTAAGTATTAGGCTTTGGTTTGTTTTATTCAGAATACAAATAAAGTATATGGCTTTTTTTCTCACCAGTATCTCACCATCAAGATTTTCATATCAGCTCTATGGTTTTATTTTATTATTTCTTTGTCTCTTAAAATTCTGAGTTTAGCCTATGAGCTGATCATTTTTTTCTTGCAAGAAAGTGGTATTATTTCCTTCCAAGAGCCAAATAATGTCCAGTTCTTTCTGCTTCTCTTTATGTGAAGTCATTGAGGACTTGGTCTATAGCCATTATTTCATTTTCAGTGCTGGTATTTTCTTACTTTCCTTACAGTGATGCAAGAAAATATTGACCTAAGACATGCTTCCTGGGGCATTTTCAGTTTTCATGTTGTTGTGCCACACTCTTTAGCAATTGCCCACTCCTTTCAAAAGTGTGATCGCAAATCTTTCTCATCCAACAAGCAAGAATGGTAAAAGGCAAGCAAAACTATCATTCAGAGCCATCATTTCATAGAATGAAAACTTGTTCAAGAGCAGATGTATGAAGAACTTAACTGAAGAATAAAAGACAGAACTTTAAATACATATATTCTTTTGGAAAAATGCACAAACTATCCTGATTTTTCTTCTTTCATTAAGTTTATTGGTACATTTGGGGTATAAAATACAGTTACATTCATTGTTGGGATCTTGTACCTTTACATGATGTATCTTAGTTCTTATTTTTTCCCCATTTCCCTGCCGTCCCTTCACTCACTCTACCCTTCCCTATTTACAGAGTCTTTGTTTCCATTTTTCCTTTTCTCATATTTTTTCTTTTCCCTTCTTTCCTTTCTCCTATCCTTCCCACTTCCCCAACTCCTTTAGACCCTTTCTTCCTATTTCACATTATCAGTTATACCATTTGAACTTTATTTACACTTTTAGTTTCTCACACCAGAGAAACTATTTGGTATTTACACATGTGTGTCCTATTTATTTCACTATCCTGATTTTTTTTCATGCTACCATGGATAGAAATGTTGAGTTTTGGATTTACAAGGACTAGAATGTGGGAACCCTTTTTGGTTTAACACCAATAAAATTGTAGACATCTGTTAGAAGGTAAAGTGAAAAAATTGTCTAGTCAAATTATGATTACTCAGCCTCACATTTGAGAATCTGCCATGTGTCATACATTCCAAATCACCAGTCTATACAAAAGTTCTACATGATTTAAAAGTTATTCTTTCATTTTATTCAATAAACACATGTGTATAATACCTATTTGGCATGTATTAAATTAGGCACGTGAAATATAAAATGATTTATTTTACTTAACATTATAGTCTCAAGGTTCATCCATTTTATACAAATGATTCAAGTTTATATTTCTTTATGGAAGAATAGTATTCCATTGTGTATAAATACTATACTTCATCCACTCATCTGTCCAGGGATGTATAGGCTGCCTCCAAGATATAGCTAATATGAATTGTGAAAACAAATATTTGATGGTCTCCCTTATGTAAGAAACCCAAATTATAAATGAAAAGCAAAATAAAAATAAGAAATAGGGAGATATATCTTTTACCAAAGATAAAAGGACCAAGAGTTGGAGAGAGGGGGGAAAGAGAGGAGGGGAAGGGGATGAAAAAAAATTGAGATGAGTTATATGTATGCATCAACTCCCCATCAGAAATGTAGTCAGAAGATACTATAAACACATACTAATAAAAATTGAAACAAAAGAAATATAAAATTAATTAAAACATAGAATACAAATATAAGAAATATTAAACAAAATGCAGAATATTGGAGACAATATGAAATATCAAGAGGAAATTGAAATTAATGAACTTACATTGTTAGTCCCTGCATGGCTACCAAGAAGCTTTAGGACCTGCAGAATTCAGTATCCTCTCTTTTAAAGAGCAAAAACCTTGTTTTTCTCAGACTTATTTTGAAAAGAAAATATAGGGAAAAGTTTCTGAAGAAACAAATGTAAAGTATAGATTGTAAGAACCTACATGTTCATGTTTGTAACTCATTTAAAATATGACTTCTCCTAGTACATATTATCACTCTGATAGACACAATCTTTATCCTTCATCTTTCTTAAAAACTTCAAAAAGGGGACAGGGGATTTAGCACAGTGGATCTGCCATCTGCCTCACAAGCTCAAGGACCGAGTTCCATCCCTGGTACCAAAACAAACAAACAAAACTTCAAAAAGGGATTCCTATGCTAATGTTTTACTGATGGTAATCATTGTTGCCATGCCCCCCTCTCACTTCTTTTTTTTTTTTAATTAATTTTATTGGTACATTTTAGGTATACAATATAATAACATTCATCATTTGAAATTTGCACCTTTACATTCTCTCTTGGTTCTTATTTTTCCCCCTTTCCCTGTCCTCCCTTCAACCCCTCCATCCCTCCCTATTTACAAAGATTTTGTTTCAATTTTTTCATTTTCTCATATTAATTCCATTCCCTTCGTTCCCTAGCCCTCCCTCTTCCCCTTCCCCTTCCCCTTTGCTCCTTTTCTTCCTATTTCACATCATCTATTATACCTTTTAGTCCTCATTTACACTTTCAGTTTCTCACACTAGAGAAACTATTCAGTATTTACACGTGTGTCCTATTCATTTCACTTAAGAGTATCACCTCAATGTGCATCCATTTAGCTATAAATGTCTCTAATTTCTCATTTTTTATGGCTGAGTAGTACTCCATTTTATAAAAAAACAATGCTGGCAGGACTGTGGGAAAAGAGGAACACTGCTCCATTGTTGGTGGGAGTGCAGACTGGTGCAACTACTGTGGAAATCAGTGCGGAGATACCTCAGAGAGCTAGGGCTAGAGGTCTCATTTGGCCCAGCTATTCCCCTGCTGGGTATCTTCCCAAAAGAATTAAAAGAATCATACCACAGTGATATATGTGCACCCATGTTCATAGCAGCACAGTTTGTAACGGCTAAAGCTTGGAAGCAGCCCCCCTCACTTATAAGAAAGTATGCTTTGGAAGGCAAAGTGATTACACTGCTGGCTCATGATTGAGCCTGGTGGTTTCTGCTTCTGTGCGCTCCCCCTCTCCACACTGCTCACCTCATTCCCTTGCATGGTAAACTGTGCACACACGGAGCACATTTTAATGCCCCCCTCCCCCATCATGGTATCTCCCAAGGAAGAAGCCTGGTGTTAGAAACTAGAGGAGAGCAGGACATAAAAGGGCAGGATGCTGGGAGGCTCCAGAGTATTCTCTCTGCTAATCACTTGTTCTAGTTGCCCTGCTGCCCCCAGCCCTTGCTGTCCTTCCCCTCTCCTTTTACCTTTCTAATCCGTAATCTCCCATCTTCTCAACACCAGCCTGATCAGTGTTTTGATGGTAGCTTTGTGTGCTATTGACCTTGACTAATCAATTTAACCTTGTATAGCCAACTCTTATTCCTTGATAAGAAGGAATAACATAAATTGAACTGCTTGACCTGGGATCTTGAATTTAGTTCAGCTGTTTTGGCTTAGATAGTGTTTTTGAAAAACCAAATTTGTGCGCCTTTATGGTAGATTTGCACAGCTAATTTGCTACAAACTCCATCACTGCCTATTGAGTCATATCAGCCTTTTCTGCAAGTTTCTCATCTGTTCCAGAAGACATTTGCTTTAGCTAATGGTAGACTAGCACCTTTAGGCAGATCTGGGATCCTGTGGGCAGAGCACTCTGATTTTCTCATACAGTGAGTCTCTTTTAAATCTAAAGCCTTGCCTGTAGTATTTCTTTCACTAGTCAGAATTAAGCACCGATGTTCTGCTCCCCATGATGAATCTTTAGGGGCTCAAGAGAGAGTGCAGATAGATCAGGGCATCCCATAAGGGAAAACAGTTCAAAGCAACTCTGTTAAAATGTATCATTGTGTATGCCTAAGAATCTTGAAGCAATAATTTGCTATTAGCAAGCAGTCTGTTCTCCTGGCAGAAAAGCCTACATTAGCATATGAAGTAGTAATATTTGGCTTTGCACAGAAGGATTCCCTTATCATACTTGAGAAAGCATTCTTCTGGAAGTGGCATTTTCCAGAAGAGGTACAAGGCCAGGGAACAGTAAACTTCCCTTTGCCGCAACATGATTTTTACCAGAATCCTCTTTAATGCAGGTTGCCAATTTAGCCTGTTCCATATCCAACAATGAGGAAGGGGTGAAATTAGTCCGGATGGCAGCCACCCAGATCGACAGCCTGTGTCCCCAGGTAAGCCTTCTTTACCTTGTCTCGAAAGCCTGTTGGTGACCTGACATTTGGGATCTTCTCCAATGAAATTCTCACATCCCTTCTTTCCTTGCTTTATTTTATCTAAATGAGAAACATTACCCATCAATCAATCCTGGGCTGTTTAAAGTTGTACCTTCCTCAAAAAAATTTTCTAATGGCTCCATGTATTCAGCATCACTGTGGCAATTACCACCTTTTCCACTCATATTGACTTTGTTCTGTTTGCTTTGGGTTGTGATTAAAGTGCTCCATTTCTATTTACCTCCTCTCAACAAGTAAATTATAAGCATGCACATGTAGAAAGCAGGAGTTATATTTCTCCCACATCTGCACTAAGTAAATGGGATTTATTTAGCCAGTGCCTTTTGAAACTTGAGACTAATCACTGTGTCTTAAAAAGAAGAAGCAAAACAAACACAAAGGGTAGATATAAGCTTCTGTATCTTTCATGTTTTTGAATGACACGGACAAGCCTTTATCTCTAGAACCTTCAGGGTGCAAGGTTTCAACATGGTGCTGTCCTGCTTCTCCTTTTGAAGAGTGTGCTCATCTAGTCTCTGGATTATTTCTGACAAATAGGTCATCAATGCTGCTCTCACACTGGCTGCCCGACCGCAGAGCAAAGTTGCTCAGGATAACATGGACGTCTTCAAAGATCAGTGGGAGAAGCAGGTCCGAGTGCTGACAGAGGCGGTGGATGACATCACCTCAGTGGATGACTTCCTCTCTGTCTCAGGTAATCACCACACACAGGTCCTGACCAGGATGAGATAAGAAATATCTGGCAAATGTCATGGGTCTGTGATTCAAGTGCTCTCCTTGACCCTTTGAGCGTTTGGTCATCTCTATAAGATTATAACACCTTCTTGAAAATTCTTATTTTAAGACACTGAGTCAAGGCATCAGAGAGGAAAGACACAACTTTCTGATTAACATGTCAGAACCTGAACAGATTTATTGAAGGAGCTGGAGTCCTTTTTAGTTTCTACAGTTTTTTAAGCAGGATGAATTTTTGATACATCTCAATCACCCAGGTGAAAAAGGATTATGGAATATGGAACTGGTTAATCTACATGGCTTATATCTTAATAAGCAATTAGTTATTTCAATTTTGTCATGTTATTTGGGTCATTTTTCTAATAAAACAACCACTAAAAGGTTTGTTATGAACAGGCAGAAATAGCAGTCGCAGAATTAGTCCCCTAGAAGGCACATGGGGGCACTTACCTGTGAGGTTGTACAGGAAGGAAGAGTAAGAAAATAGAAGTAATCACCACTGTAATTGTAACTTTCTTCATTATAAATGAAGCCAAACTGGAGGAAGCTAGTAGGTTTGAATAACTGTGAAGTCAGTTTGATATTTAATGGTATTATCATGCTGTTCATAAGATTGGGCTGCCAGCTAGCAAATGGGCCCTTTTCCAAACAGTTTTGACCAAACATATTTGGCCAGTTCAGCTGGAAGGTTCCTGTAAAGAGGAGGTCATAGGACACATCAGCCTTTTTTATGAGGCATTAAAAAAGCCAAGTGAACCTTGGAAATTTAAACTGGCCAGGTGTTGATTCTACCCATAGGTGTGTGGAACTGACATCTACCTGCTCACCTAGCACTTGATCTGGCCTGACCTGTCTTTGGCAGACTGAGGCCTGAGGGGGAGGCATCACAGCACTGCTGAGGGGGACCAAGCAGACAGAACATTGGCTACAGCTGTGTGGAAATGCTTTCCATGGGGAGGCTGCCACATTGGAATATTTTCCCTAGTTGCAGGCTTTCATTTTTTATGAAAAAAGTAAACAATGAGTTCCAGTTGGAGGCTTGTGTCTAAGTCTTGGGTAAGAACAGTTGAGTTGAATCTATTGATCTGATAGATAATCGAAAAGCTAGGTTTCCAATGATGGAGGGCAGATAAGGAAACCAAGCTAACACATGCTTGTCTGTAATTTGCCTGATCCCCTGCTTTTGCTTTAATTCTCACCAAAATTCCATAAGATGGGTATTAGTATTCTAAATCTGCCTTTGAGAACACTAAGTCTGTGAAAGGGAGGTAATTTAGAGATGGTATGAAAATCCAGATTCCCCTTCGTTTCAGAAACTATAGTTTTCAGTAAGTCAAGATAGAAGGGAAATTTTCTTCCCTTGCTGCTTTCTACTTTCATTTCAGCTTCCTTTTCCCACCCTGGAATCCTCATTCCAAGTTTTAATATCTTCTAGAGGCCTGTTTTGTTTTTTATTCCACAATTTTTTTTTTGATAACTTGTCTATTCATTTAAATGTCCCCCTAGCTCTGGGTTGGCTGGTAAAAGAACTTGGTATAATATAATTCCTGGAGTTTTTGCTTTGTTGATGACTAAAATACATTATAAAAGATTATAAAAGATACACCCTAAAATGCATGTTTGTAAGGTGCTTAGGAATTGTTTAGATAGGAGTGTTGAAGATTTGGATGCTGGGAAATAGAAAAGTAGCCACAGAGAAGCTTCCTTTCTAATAGCTGCTCAATTTTTTCAGGATGACTGCAGTGCCCCTATTATTGGCCTTCCTTCCCAGCCTTAGATCTCTCCCAACAAACCTGCTCTGTTCCGGAAATCTTCCTCTGAGTCCCCTTCTACTTACAAGTAAATAGGAAATATCTTTAAGCTACTTTTTTTCCAATAGAGGAATATTCCAGAACTTAAAACTGTGCCCACTTACCCTTTTCTTCAAATGCATGGACAGGAATTCCTGAGGGTAGGGAGCAGCAAGATGAGGAGGTCTTATCTCAGACTTTTTGAATGGTACAAAGCTTTGCTTAATTCCCCCCCACCCCCACCCCGGCCAGCCATGCCTTTTCCCTACTTTTCTCCCTGCCATTCCTTTGTGCATCTCATTATTACCAGCAACAAGAAAAGGCTTTGGCTCCTGCTGATAACACATCGCAGTCCACCCTGAGTGGTACAAATGCTGCAGCACGCCACGACAGCAAAATGAACAGTGGCTGTCAGGCAGCCAGGTTGGCAGGGCCTGCTGGAGCATGCTTTTAGAGTCAACAATCAGCCAGCAGGCACCTTCCTGGAGACCAGGCTTGACAAATAATGACACAGCCCACTCTTTCCTGATGGCCAGCTATGGACACAGCCCAGTAGTTGGGGAAACTACTTCTCATCTCCTTTCTGAGCCAGTGCCGAGCATTTGCATTGGTAAATTGCAACTTTGGCCCAGGAGATATTTTAGAATGGCATTAATGACATTTTAGGTATCAGTTTCTTCATAGGGGAATATCTGTTCTGGCAAGAAACTCTATTAAAAACAACAACAACAACAACAACAATAACAACAAAATAGATCTTTGTTTTTAAAAGGCTATAATTTTTTTCTTCGTGCTACCCGAACTTATGTACCTGAAAGTTTAATTTGTTCACATGAAAAGCATCAAGTTTGGGGAACATTGATGCTTGCTATTAACGTTACAGGAGCAAAACCAATTTTCAGTTGTGGTCTGGGCTCGTAAAAATGTGAAATGGCTGCATTTGAACATTTAAAGCTTTCCCACTGGGCAAAAACTACATTTTTTAATAGTGCTTTAAAATGAGCTCATTGGGATTAACCATGTGACAGTTTAATTCTTGAGTTTGGCTCACAAAATTGTAGAAATCTAAGATCTGAGGAAGCCATTAACTCAACTATATAATGCCCAAGATTTTTGTTTGTTTGTTTACTTCACTTTCTTTTATTTTAATCTTTAAGATCTTGAATTTGTTTTCTTTTTTAAAAAAACATCATACAGTGACTTTGGTTTTGAGTTTAGAAACTATAGCTTTTGTGGTTTATAACAATGAAGTGGTTTTGTCATCATTGATTTTTTTAAAATAACAAAATTACATCTTTTCTGAAAAAGTAAGGTTATGAAATTTCAAGAACTTTATTGAAAAATCCGTTGTATTCAAATGTTTTATGACATGTTTTTATATACCCTGGTTGATAGTAAAGTGTACTATCAGAGAAATCTGTAAGTTTCTCCTTGTAATGCAATTTCTGGAATACATATGCCCCCTACATACACTTTCACCTCTATTTTTTTTTCTATTTTGAACAGCATTCCTCTATATTCTTATTTCAGGAATTGATTCTCTTCAAAATATCTTGAGATAAAAATGGGTAATGCATTGTTTCTTTCCAATGAACCCTTTCATTCAATATCTAATTACCTGCTGTCTCTACAATGCTATCAGGAATGCAAATATAAATTCCTTGTAGATTTTGCCTTCAAATAATTCCCTGCCCTTCTCAATATAAACTAGACCAGTGTGTTTGCAAACACACAGTCCCAGACCAGAGGATACAGAGAGGAGGAGGGGGCAGTTACCACACGGGATCCAAGAACGTGTGGGTTCTCTAGGGGTAGTCTTTGGATAAAACATTCATGTTTATGTGAACAGGCACAAATCTTTCTCAAGCACATTGTTAGTGATTAAATAAACAGAATATAAATCTATTTTAAAACATTCTGAATTATGGTAGCTTTTATGTGTATTCTATCCGTCAGTATAATTACTGTCTTGAGAGAATCATGACTCATTTTTCTATAAAAGAGGTCCCTCTCTTTGGGAAAGGCTGGGAAATGCTTAGTTAACTATCAGTTCATTTGGAAAAATTAGTAAACTCTTACATTAGTAAGATTAATACATCATTCACACAGCATGACTAACTTGATGTCCCATTTAGCAAATTAGTTAATGATTTGATGGAGTACAGTGTTTTTGTTACCATGGACATTAATCCTAGTCTAGTTTCCTTCATATAGACATAGTTGTAAATATGAAAGCATATTTTTGCTGCCTTTAAATTAAATTAGAATCATTTATCCAGTAGAAAAACTATCATTTCATTTTCATATATTGGGTCACAAGTGGGGCTCTTAGATTTTTAAAAAAAATTTATTAACTCCATAGAGATTAGTACTTAGTATAACAAATAGTCCTCCACAGAGCACTAAACATTTTAAACATTTCCTTAGAATTATGTTTTCAAATAATATTCAAAGGATATAATTACAAGTCATACATTGGACATGAGAAATAAAACATTGCCCATTTGCTGAACTTACAAAATTGTGTTTTCTCTATGCCATACAGGTAAAACCTTACCTTTGGCCAGTATATTTTCTACACTTGATCTTAGCCAAAAGGCCGAGAAGCGATGCCAGTATATTTTCTAGTTGGTCAGTGACAGAAGAATGCTTGCTTTGTTTGCAGTGTGATAAATTCAGCGGGATTGCTTTTTAATTGTAGGGAATTCTGTGATGGTGTTGACTTCATCAATTTTATCAGTGCATATACCTTCTATATGACATGACTTTAAGAGACTGGGTGATATTTGTTTGTTCTTTGTCCCTTAAATATTTTCTTAATAAAAAAGACAATCAAACAAACATACACCCAAACTTTCAACTCTGTTCATGTTTAGTAATAATTCTGTTAGGTCAGATTACTTCATGCTAGCTGGCACAACACCTCCTAAAAGACCGTCTTGGACAATAAGTCTAGAACTTTAAAACAAAAGAAGACCTGTTCTTCATGTCAGTAATTGTCAGTGCAGCTCCCAAATAAGAAATATCTAGGAACTTCAAAGAAACTCAATTTCCTAAGTCTCCATCCCAGAGCTACTGATTCAGAACCTCTAGAAGTAGCACCCGGCAATCTGCGTGATGCTACAAGCCCTGTGGATGATGCTCAGCCTTTAAAATTGCTATTGTAATCATAAACTCTTTCCTTTAAACACCATTTCAGTATTATAAGGCATGTATTGAAATGTGCAAGGTGAGGGATCATAGAAGTTGTTGAATTAATTTTAGTTTGGCTATTAAGTTCTCAGCGATGTAAAGTCATATAAATGTGTATGTCCTGTCCACAGAAAATCACATTTTGGAGGATGTGAACAAATGTGTGATAGCCCTCCAAGAAGGGGATGTGGATACCCTAGACCGGACTGCAGGAGCCATCAGGGGCCGGGCAGCTCGGGTAATACACATCATCAATGCTGAAATGGAGAACTATGAAGCTGGGGTTTATACTGAAAAAGTGCTGGAAGCTACAAAATTGCTTTCCGAGACAGGTAGGTATGGATACTAGATCTAGCCAAAATGTTAATGCCATGGTTAATTTCTTTATCTGAATAAATTAGTTTCATTGCTTTTTGTGGGTCTTTATGCTTCTAAATTGCACATATTATGGAAGGGGGGAAGTACTTGAATGCTCTCTTTGTTTCTTGAGTTTGAAATGAATAACTTTAGGAGAATAACACTTTCATTGCTTTTTATGTATACGTTAAGTTTTCATATATAATCTCATTTGATTCTCACAAGAACTTTATGGAGTAGGCAGAGAATATGTATTATTTATTTCCAACTAAAGATGGAAAAATGGAGGCTTGGATCCATTTTCCATTCAAAGATGGAAAAATGGAGGCTAGGAGACAGGAATGAGATCACAAAGCTAGAAAATAGTGAAAATGGGATTGGAGGTTATAATTTTGATCTTGACAACCATTTCTACATCTGTTGCTTGGGAATATATGAGCTTGAAGAAACCTAGACAGCCAGTGGGGAGCATGAAGGCTTTAGGTAGTACATGGGTATCAGGTACTCAAAGAAAGGATGTGGTAGCTGTTTGAAAAGGGTTAGATTTTCAATAATTCCCCTTTCTTTTAGGAGTGTCTTACATCTCCTCCTCCAGGGATATAGTTATTTGTGGGAACCTGTCAGGTGCATTGCAATGGAAAAATGACTTACTTCCACAGAGTTAGCACTAACACTACACAGCTTTGGAGGGTGTCTCAAACACTAGCCTATTTATTTATTTGCAGGTTTTGCCCTTGACTAATGTCCCTTGGTGTTAAACTAGTAAATCCCTCATGCCTTATTTGTTTATCTTTCTGTCATGATGAGAATAAAAAGAACATTCAGGGAAGGAGGGATAAGTGGAAGACAGAAAAAAGAGACCTTAACTCTCTCATTGGGGTTGTGAATGAGCAATGAATTGGACCTTTTGTGGGCAGAGAAGGGTCTTTGCCCTCAGAGCTCAACGTGACACTTCTCAGTTTGCACGTGGATTTTTGGACACCACTAGCCATTTTCTTTTCTTTTATTTTATTTGCTTAAATTCTTTATTGGTACATTTTAGGTATACAATACGTTTGCATTTATCATTGGGTGCTTGTACCTGTACATGATGTATCTTGGTTCTTATTTTTTCCCCATTACCTGTGCACCCTTCACCCTGTCCCCCCTTCCCTATTTACAAAGACTTTGTTTACATTTTTTTCTCATCATTTTTCCTTGCCCTTCTTTCCTTTCCCCTTCCCCTCATACTTCTCCTACCCCTGTGGACCTTTTCTTCCTATTTCAAATTATCAACTAATCATTTTAATTGTTTTAATCCTACCACTAGCTGTTTTTAAAATAGATGTCTCTGAAAGATCACACAGGCCAGTGTTCCAAGTTCTACATTGTAAGACAAGTTAGTAGAAATATATATTCTTCTACAAGGAAATATTATTTACAAAGATTTCTGCAGATATTTGTTAGCTTGGAAATGGCAAAGAGAAAACAACTTATGAATGTAGGCATTGGTCTGAAATATATGAAGAAAGAGGAGACTGTAACATCACATAATAAAAAGAGTACATCCTTATTATTGCTCTTGAGAGTCCTAACAGACTTAGAATTAAAAATAACAATGATAATGATGATATATCTGCATTTTAATTAGCTAAAATTTAGCACAATTTTCTTTCAAATTGTCTTGCCCTTTGCTTCAGAAGAGCAATACAAAGCAAGCCATACAGTATATCTTTCCTCACTTGGGAGAATTGGAAGCAAGCCTTTTAAATTTTTTTTTTCCTTTAGAAGGAGACTGTCTCACATTCTTATAATTCTCATCTGCTCTCTTCTCAGCTCTATTCTCTTACAAAGTCTCAGGTTCACATGGTCTAGCATACAGTAGCACTCATTTGAAGCTGATCTTGAGTAAGAAGTATCACAGAAGGGTAGAAGTCATGGAAACGGGGACTCAACTCTTGCCTGCTCATGACCGATGGGAACAAATACAGTAAATGAAAAGACACACACACCATATTGCCAATTTACATATGACTGTGTCCACAGAATAGTCAGGCAAATTTTGTAAATGGGGATGGGAAGATGGGTTGGGAGAGAGGAGGGGAAATGGACAAAATAAAAAAGAATTAAGATGTGCTGTGTATATGTACAAATCCCCCATGATGAATCTGATCATTATGTACTGCATACGTGAACAAAAAAAAAAAAAAGAAAATTAAGGCAATACTCAGGATATTTTAATGTTTTTTCCTTCTTGTATCTTGGACTGCTTTAATAACAGGAGCTGTGCCCTTTGGGTCTAAATGTACTTAAAGGCAAGAGCTTAGTTGATTGGAATTTTAACATACTTTACATCCAAAGTCTACAAATGTAAATCACTTTCTAGTTGATCTTTTATTTTAAAAATAATCAATGAAACAGACCTACCCTTTCTGGATTGTTGTTCCTAATCAAGATTTAGCTTTTACTTATTCATGTCAAACCCTTTAAAATTCTCACCCCAAGATGCCCTTGTAGTGACCCACCATTCTGGAGGCTTCTCTAAAGACCCTTCCTTATTTTAATGTTCACATCTAATTCCTAATTGAATAGAATACATGAGAAAAACATTTAGATTCTATTTTTCAGGATGTATTGAAGGTAACTAGGAAAGTAATCAAGTAGGAGAAATTGAAACAGGCAGCTTATGTAAAGCTGTAGTAGAAATTGTAGAAATACATGGTGAGGAAAAGTGGACTTTAGTGGGCTGAGAACTAGATAACATGCAAACATAAAGTTTTTGCTTCTGTCTCTAGTTACTATTCTCTTTCTTGAACAGGAACAATATATTTTTATAAGAGGAAAAATGTTAGCTATTAACTGACTGCTAATTGAACTGCTGGGGATTGTGCTTGTATAGATAACACACATGGAGTTAGAGGAAGACCATAGGATCACTATTATGATTATGGTTTTACAAGGTCCTTTTGATTATATTTATTTTCTAAAATAAGGTAGTTATCATATCAGTATATAGACATATAGCTTCAAAATAAAAACAACTGTGCATATTATTAATGCCCAGATTTCTACTTTTGGGTTAATGTTTTTGTATTTTAAAAAAATTATTAGAAACAGCCCAAGTGCTCATCAACTGGAAGCTGGATAAAGAAAATGTGGGTTTCTTATAAAATGGAGTACTACTCAGCCATAAAGAATGACAAACTAAAGACATTTACAGCTGAATGGATGCATATTGAGGCCATACTCTAAAGTGAAATAAATAGAACACACGTGTAAATACTGAATAGTTTCTCTAGTGTGACAGACTGAAAGTGTAAATAAAGATTAAAATGATTAAAATGAATAATTGATAATTTGAATTAGGAGAAAAGGCCCAAAGGGGTAGGGGAAGTGGGAGGGGAAATGGAAAGGAAAGAAGGGAAAGGAAAAATTATGAGAAATGGAAACAAAGTCTTGTAAATAGGGAAGGGTGGTGGGGGAGAAGGGAGGACTGGGAATGGGGAAAAAAATAAGAACCAAGATATATCATGTACATGATGAATGTAAATGTATTATATACCTAAAATGTACCAATAAAAGAATTTAAGGAAAAAATAAAAAATAAAATAATTATTAGAGCCATATTAAATCAGTTACTTTTCTATGAATGTATCAAATTTTGTCCCAAAAGTACATTTTACTATGAAGAAATAATATAGGAATACTGGCAAAAGTGGCAAAAGAGGAAAGTGACAAAGAAAATATGAGGAAAAAACTATATTGTAATGCCAGCTTTTTGTGTTTTCTGCCTATTACACCTAGTAGATACTGCCTGTTTCTTTTTCTTTGTTGTTTGTTTTTAAATTGGAATTGTTAGATCCAAGATCCTTAGGAGAAGTTTTAATGTCTATACCACTGACACTTTGGCCTGAGCAATTCTTTCTTGAGGTTTGGTGGCTGTGGTTGTCTTGTGCTTTACAGCATGCTTACCAGCATCCCTAGCCTCCACCCACTTAATTCTTGTAGCATCTCCTCCCTCACCCCAAATTCTGATTACAAAAACTGTTTTTAGATAATCTTGGGGTTTAGGGTGGGGAAAATAACACCCATGGTGAATCACTACTCTAAGGTGAAGAAATATCACCAAATACAGACAGATTTGAACAAGGCAGAATCAGAATGTGGTGAGAGTATGACATGAGAGTATGTTACAAAGAAGTATTTATGAAAAAGTAGAATGTTTCATAAGCCTCTACTGAACCAGATATTTATGCCGAAGACATTCACCAATATGAGCCAGCCCGTATGCACACATGTGAATACCTACAGGGCTTGGTTGCGGTAGGGAGCTATCGACTTTATCAACTGGCTCCCTGTTCTGAGCACTTTGAAAGTGACAGGTACCCAAAGACTGACACAACCATTTGTAGTTTTATTTTCCTTGAATTATCTTCCTTCCTAGGAAAGATAATATTTGACTTAAGAGTGCTTTTTTCATGTTGATAAAAATGGTGAATTAAATTTAGAAAAATATTTTGTGAATTACTAGTATACTAAAATTATAGGGAATTATGTAAAAAAATTACCTATTTACTTCTTATGAAACTAATCTAGGTTGATGGAAAACACATCAAAATGAATCTACAGCAGACCCATTAAATAATTACACAGCATATTTGATACGACCTTCAATAAAACCTGAATTATAACAAATTGCCAACAGGTTGGCAGTAAGTCCATGCTTGACCAAACTCATCTTCAGATTTCTCATTTACAAAGTCAAGTTGCTGCAGGAGGCTGAGAGTGCAAAAGTACTTTCAGTGATATCATATTTAGATGTACAGAGAGTAACCTATCACTGAATGGATTATATTGAAATGCCATTTTTGTACATTTGATAGCTAATGAAAGTTCCTGTCAATGTGAATGTGGTGGGATAGAGAAAGCCTTGAGATGCTGCCAGGCATTTCTTCTTCAAAGGGACAATGGACCAGGACAAGTAGAAAGAATTTAG